AACACAAAATACCCTAAGTATAATAAAATCTCTAAACATAATCCCTACAGAATATGAACATAAATTGAAAAATATATAGGTACACATATATATGAATCAAATGAAAAACTCGTAGTGACAAAGTGAAAAAAAAAACAAACAGTTAACGACATCCTAAAAGACAGTTTAGTGACAGCAAATTATTAACTAGTATTAAAATCATCCAAAAGAAATTGCTTTAACTTTTTTTTAAAGTTCAAAATAGTGTATGACTTAAAACAAACGGGCAAAGCATTATATTCTTTACAGGCGTGATAGATAAAACTTCTAGTATACAGGGCAGTGGCGTGGCGAGGAATCTCTAATAAACGCGAATAACGAGGATTAAACATCGAAGTGGCTTTATGAAGCCTCTTAAATTTTTTATGTAAGTATACAGGGCATTTTTGCTGAAGAATTTTATGAGTTAAACATAAAGAGTGCAACTTACGAGAGTTCGAAAGATTAAGAAAATTATGTTTTTTAATTAACTCATTAATTCCTCGTTCAAATTTTCTAATTCCATATGCAAATCTAACCACCATTTTGAATTCGCTGCAAACGCTGAATATCGGAGTGTAGTAGACCTGGGCCATAGATACAGTCACAGTATGAGAGCTTTGAAAATATTAAAGAATTACATAAACTGACTTTTAGAGATGAATCCATGATGGCACGATGGGGATAAAGTTGCTTTAAGGTATTATACGATGATCGACACAGATTGTTTACATGTTTGGTAAATCTTAGCTCCTCATCAAACCAAAGACCCAGATTATTACACTCATTGGTAAAATTTAAAGAAATATCTCCTAATTTTAAATTCAATTCCATTTTCGCCATAATATGTTTATTTTTAGGACCAAAAATTATGACTTTAGATTTGTCAGGATTTAGCTTCAATCTATGAGCAGTAGAGATATTTAACAATGAGTTTAAGTCGTAATTAATACAATCATTAAAAGCAGCTAAGTCCGTACCAGGACAATTGAGATACACTTGGGTATCATCAGCGTAATGATGAACAGAACATTTATTCAAAAATGTATAAAAATCCGCTATATAAATAGAGAACAGCAAGGGCCCTAAAATGGACCCCTGAGGAACCCCATGAGTCACTGGCAAGATGTCAGACACATTAGAGTTTATGATTACTTGCTGTGTTCTGCCAGACAAATAACTAAAAATGTAGGAAGCAGCACTATTGTCAAAGCCAAAGTACATTAACTTTTTACAAAGGATAGAGTGGTCCAATGTGTCGAACGCCTTGCTATAATCTAAAAGAATCAAGGACGTAATTAAACCATTATCAGTGGCGTTATAAATTTCATCTGAAATATGTGCTAATGCAGTAGTGGTACTGTGCTGAGGCCTAAAGCCGGACTGAAAGGAAGGGATAATATCATTATCAAAAATAAACTGCGACATTTGTGTTTTCATAACCATTTCGAGAACTTTGGAGATAGTAGGCAAGAAGAATTAATATGTCTTTTTCAAAGTGAATGTTTATAAGTTTATTATTGTTATGTGTTCTCAACATGCCATCTTCATTGTGAACCTCGCAGTTCGTAAGTTACCTTCTTTTTGTAATTATAATGTACTAATTAAAAAAATTTTGTAAAAATTGTAGAACTCCTGAAGAAGAGAATGATTTTTTCGAAAGCTTGAGCAGAAATAAAGAGTTTTCAACCTTTATTGTTTTTTGCCAAGACTATTAGGTACCCAATTATTTAACCAGAAATTTTGTTTCTTAACTATAGCTAGTCGCTAATACTTAACGACTGTTATATATGTATATATAGTTAAAATAGCCGTTTAAAAATCTTAGAGGTTGCTACCACCAGTAAGGTTTTGATCAAAATGTTCAAGCCCATAGTAAAAAACACTTGCGAATGTAAGAAGTGGTGCCAAATAGAATGCAGGTAAAAAGATTATCTGTGTGTGAGGTTGGTTGTCTACCCCAAAGGCTTAATAGTATTTATATATTAATGAATTCTTTCTCATAACCAACGTAATAGGGCATAGTCATATTGACTTCTTTGCCCACATTTCATAGAGTATGTAGAGAGTGGTTTCATTCTTCTTACATGCAAAGTCTTACCTAGCATTTAGTAGTTATTGTAACTACTACATGTAAACTCGTTTCAGAAATTCGGACCCTACGTTGGGCACCGTGTTGTCTTTCACCCTCATTATTACTTCGGGGAATACCTCTAATATAGGAGGAAACCGATATTTTTTTACTGAAACCATCGTGTATTGATTGCCTACGGTGCTGGGATTCTCGTCCCCCGCTCGACGCCAAAGAGGCAAACGGGACATCTCCCTGATCATGCCAACTCAACTGGTGCTAGCCGGTTGTGAGGAAATATGGTCAATGATTTTATTTATTTTTTACTTTTTCCACTTTGATACACCCTCTGCAATTTAAAGATTTTCAACTGTGCCTAGTTGCACCAAATTGTTTTGTAGGCACTTCGAGTATGAGTACTATATAGTGTGTCTGTACTACGCTAATCTTTTTGGGCTTTGCTTTCCCTAGCATTGATTTGAGATCTCCTGTGGTTACCTGAAAATTTAAAAACTTCTAGGAACTTGTGTAAGCCTCCTGTGAGTACCTATGAATTTGGAAGCTTCTGAGAGATTATCTTTCACCACAGAATTGGGCAATGCCTGGGTGGCTGGAGCTCTAGAACTAAGGTCTGGGAAGCAGTATGCATGCAAAAATTTGAAAATTTTTGACAATGTTTTGGATTTTGAAAATTTTTGAATTTATTGAAATTATGTTATTTACAATAAATGGTATTTGATACGCAAAGAGCTTTATACAACGCAAATATTAATTTTATGGCGTACTACATGTACTGACTGGTTACTGAAGTGCAAAGTACCAGGGTCAACATTTAATCACATTCCTTGATAGGTCTGTCGAAGTCCTGTCCAGCCTCTAGGTTTGAACAACTGACATCTTTGGATTGTAGTCGTATGGAATGGGTATGGACTTGTAGTCAGACGTGATACTGCAATTTTGTATTGAGGTTGCCCAATTCCAATTTCGTATTTTTCGGAGCTGTTATTTTTTGATATCAGAAATACTAGCAATTTTTTCACCTTTTGGGGAGATTCTTTGAAAACTTCGGCAGAAATTTTGGAAACACTGCAAAATGTTATTTTCCATGCTGCGCCTTGTGCTTCTTGTGGAGGGTAGTTTGGGTTCTTTGGCCGGGATTAGCCCTACGTAAAGTGGTTGGAGACAACTTCATGGTTCTTCTCAGATCTTGTAATACGACAATATACACATGTTATGTAACTGTCAACTAGACAACAAAATTTAAATTTTTCCAAATCAGTATATACTTTG